AACTCTGGTTTGAGCTCACCACAGTAATGCGAGCATCTCAGGATATACCAAGTATGTTGTTACACAGGCAGATGCACCTTTTCATCCTCAAAGTGAACTTAGCAAATTTCTATACAGTTTGCTTGTTCAGTACCCAAGGTATTATAACCTGCTTCTTAGCAGGGAGTATTTGTTTCAGCTAAATACAACATTAAACAAATCTTTGCAACTTCCAGTTGGCCCAGGATCTGCGTGGAGCTGCACTGTACGTGCCTGTAAAGGACACTATAAAGTCGACCCTCAGGAATCTCTAAAAATTAGATGCTGTTAGAGTACTGTACTTAAAAAGAAAATCCTTATTTCTAGTTCTACCTCTATCAATGAATTTTTGTTCAGTATTACTTAATAAATCACACAAGCTCCCTCAATTTGTTTTTCAAGATATGACACCAGACTACAGCTACTTCATAAGAATGTTGCAAGAACCAAATACTAGCCAAGACCAACCACCTACAAGTATTTTCTCTTGATTTTTAAAAATTGCTTTAAGTTCTAATTTGCTGTTAATTCTATGTAATTTGCCTCCTCAACTCCCAATTACATCTCTAATCACAAATGACCATAGTAGAAGTCAATGGGCAGGCACTGAAATCCTAACTCCTTTGTCTGTCTTGTCTTTATCACCAAGGTCAACAGCCCCTGCTTTCACCTTCTCGTGCTTTCCTTGCAACACAAAATTTTTAAGAAACACCACACAAATGATCATCCAGAAAGAGGCATCAGATCACCCTTTCCATTACAACTTTAAGTCAATCCCCTTTAAAACACAGTATTTAGTGGATCTCCTTTAGATATAGTTTATCCTTTTCATATGTGTCTTCACAACTTGTGGAAAGACTGTCATTGATTTCTCTGGGATTTGCATCTGGTATTTTTCTCTCACAGTCACTAATTCTGTTCTTCCTGCCACTACTGAAAGTCCTAGCTTTGTGCATCTTAAACATCCCTCACTTCCTGTGTTTCTCCTGCCTCTATCGGCTCTTCTTCCCAAAGTGCATTCTTCTGTCTTTACTCTTTTATCACTTTTTAAATAACTTTCATCATATTAATTGTTAAGCTTGTCTCCATTAAGTTAATTGGCTCAAGACAGATTTTTCTGCTTTCTTGTAACGCCTGATCTCTGATTATATCTATGTTTTACAGTCCACCTTTATCAAGCCTTTTATTAGCTTTTACTTTTATTACTCCTATAATCAAGAAACATAGTATGTTGGACTTTTGTCTTCTATACCAGTTGGCCATTCTAAAAATATTAATAAGCCTGTGGCTTTTTACATTCCCTTCATTTAATAAATGTTCAGCCATTATAACATTAGTAAGAAGGTAAGTTCTTTATGCTTATGAACTTCATGGAGGAAGAACAACACAGAGGAATACATGCCTTCCCATATTCAAAATATTTCTGCTAACACACATCGCTTTGTATTTTCCACTATGTGGGCAACTGGAACATCACCTTACTGGGACCCAACTCCAGGGAGTACAGGCACAGACGGCATTTTTCACGCTAGCAGGTAATATACTTCCCCAAAGTGCCAGTGGCCAGCATGCGTTTCAAAACTGCCTCTCCTCCTTGTGTTTTAGTTGAGGGTATTTTACTTTCACTTTGAATAAAAAATAAAATGAAAAATCAGGAATGATGCACAAATACAGAGTTTAGAATACAGCAATACGGTGGACTGAATATGTGAAAAATTAGAGCAGCTTTAGAACACAAAAAGGAAAAAACATAGAGAAAAAAATCTCAAAAATTATAAAGAAGGGTGAACAAACTTGGTTTCTGTAGCTGGCATCAAGAAGCAGTCAGGGCTCCTACCAATATGAAAAACAACTAGATTCCGGCAGACGAACCCGAAAGTAATGATTATGATTGCTGATGCTGCAGAGCATGGCTGGCCCACATTAGGTTAAGTAAGCTGGATGCCAGCCAGTATCATTGAACAAATAGCACAGCACATTCTGGAGGAATCTGAGAAGAGATTACTAATATCTTAAAGGTGACCTTTCACACACACCATCCCAGCAATCAGGCAATTCTCTGGGCTATAATGGACAGGATCAGCAGAGGTCAGTCTCTTGAAGCTATGCACTCTTCATACAAATAGGATTTTTTTTTTTTTAAACTTATAATAATTGACTGCATCTCATTTGAGTAGAGTACCCTAAGTGCTTTATTGGTTTATTTCACTTCTTCCCCCTGTTTTAAAGGAAATATAATCTAACTTCCCATTATTACTATGCAGGCAGGCAGCAACCTAAAGAACTCTATTTTTTAGCCATATTGTCTATTAAAAAATGTAAAATGTTTCCTAAAAGGGCAGGTGCATTAATTAAGGCTGTCACAGGATAAAAGTACTGAGAATGCTCTGCTTTCCTGAATGAGTTTTCCACAGATTATTTATAATTGGATGAAACCAATTACAGCATTTGTAATGGAAACTACGTATGTAAAGTGAAACATTTCCACTTCTGCAGAAGCTGAAGAGCATGCCACATGAACAGAATAAGGTCTCTGCATTTTTACGAAGGGAAAAGAGAAGGTATCCTTTCTGAAAAAAAGTTTTCCTTAAGTAAAACAAACAGTAAATACACTGAGTACAAATCCCAGGGCCCTAGTGTAATTGAGAACCAGGCCTCGGATTCCAAGAAGCCATCTCACAGCCAGAAGTCCTGAAGTTGTAGATAGAACTCCTTTCTGTTTCTTCAGAGAAGGAAATACAATTTAATAAGGCTCAATTTTCTAAATAATGGTTATCCTCTATAACTAATCAGTAAAGTTTTAAATCAGTATCAGACTACATGCTTGCTCAAATAGTGGAAAATATTCCGTCTTCAAAATGTAAACTTACTCTGCTGTCAACTGAAAAAGCTAGGACACTGAGGATAGCACACACTTGCATATAGTTTTTATTTTCAAATAGAAAATATCCTTTGCTAAACCAACACACAATCATCTTCTGTGCAAAGAGATTTTGCTAGTGAGAGAAAACAAAGATAACTTTGGGGAACAAAGAATGTAGTTTCAAACCCAACAGTGCTGTCTCAATTCATTCTGAATGGAAGAAGGAAAATGTTTCAAATTACTGTTAGGGAACTGAGGGAGACCTGAATAAAATTATTTGAAAAACCATTAAAGAAAACCCTCAGCTTGAAAGACACTTCAGAGAGAATTCTCCTTCCACATCTGCTAAAAGCAAGACATTCATTGACTTAATCTGTAATTATCTGATATTCACCTGGATTATGAATTTTACCCCACCAGTAAGCTAAGCAAGTGCATATTAATTACACGGCTGACAAATGCAATGCAGAATTACATTTTAGCATTTTGTAACGTGCATTGCAGGAAGTATCTGCCAGACCATTTTTGCTGCTAGGAGTCAGAAAACTTAACTTTATTCCTAATTGCTTCTGTGTAATCACTAATGAAGCCATGCGATGATTTAAGAAGTATCTATCTGTAGTCAGATAAAACTAATATATAGTGCACTTTGATTTTCATTTCTCTTCTAGATTCACATAAAAATACCATCTGAGTGAAAATTAGAGCAGATGCAAGAAGATTGTTTGTTACATGTTCTAGGTTTAACATTGCTTTATGGAATACATTACGATACTACCAGACATTAGCACGATGAAGACCTGCTGCTCTGCAATGCACATAGGATCCAACGCATACCATACATTATCCAAGGACTTGGACAAATCTTAATTTTTCATGCTTATCCTTGGATGTCAGATTAACTAGCAGACACAAGTGACATTGATGAAAAGTAACTGAGATAACTACAAATAATCAAGTGAAAATGTTATCAGATTACCAGTAGTTGGGGTTTTTTATAATCTACATATTCTACTAACTGTAAGTCTCTGGCTTGGTAAAGTGTTCTAAATTGAAGAGAGATGTGATATTAAGTATCTTGGATGGTTAGAAACATAGGCACTTTTCTCCTGGTAAAATACTTCCTTAGTTTAGAATACCTTCTGCATAGCTTTTCTCTGTAGACTCTTTGAAGTATTTTTTTTC